CACCCAAGGAAGGCGTTAAACTAAGAAAGAAGGCTAATAAAAAGGGGAAAAGTCAAGAAAAGTAAAAACATTAAAAACCTGGAGTGTTGTAGAACAACAAAGAAATTCAAGCCAAATAAACTGTGGCAAATCATTCAGATTAAATGCAAAAAGAGCAAACAATCAAGAAAATCTTTGAATAACCCAGGGAGAAAAAAGCATAAATATAAGATAGATAAAGAAAACCAGATATCACAAAATAAATTGAATGAAAAGAGCCAGAGGAGCAAACAAGTAAACCCTACCCAATTAGAAGCAGATAGTAAATGTACTCAATTTGACAAACCTATTATACAAGTTGATTTCAGCATGGCCTCCTTATCCAAGAACCAACTAAGAAATATTGATATTAAAATACCTGGCATTTACAACTGATCCCCAACAAACTGACTTTCATTAACTACCCCAAACCTAGTGGTTTACAGACTCAGTTTGATAGGAAAATATATTTTGTTCATCTGATGCAATCCCTAGACATAATCAACCTCTCAACAAAAGATATATTGATATTAAAATACCTGGCATTTACAACTGATCCCCAACAAACTGACTTTCATTAACTACCCCAAACCTAGTGGTTTACAGACTCAGTTTGATAGGAAAATATATTTTGTTCATCTGATGCAATCCCTAGACATAATCAACCTCTCAACAAAAGATATAAATGAAGTAGAATACCTATTTTATAACTATATAAATGCCAGAGCAATCATAACGTTTGAGTCTATGGCAACGGCCAGTTTGGTGATGAAGAAAAAAAGATTGCTGAATAAATTTTCAATAGGGGTATCCAGAAACTTCCAAAATAACATACTTTGTGAAGCTTATAAAAACAACACAAACCAATTAATATCGGAAACACAAAGAACTGAGGTACCACATGCATTACAACTGGAAGAAAACGAATATAACAACTTGGTTAAGGATAGCGAAAGAAAAGAGATGGGGAGAAACCCAAGCAATACAGAAATGAACCTTACAATATCACATGCGTTACCAAAAGACAGTGCTCTGGCAAAACAACATACAGTAAACACTGCTAATTATCATGAAAGGAGCTATATAAAAAAGCATAACCTGGTACAACAGGTATCTCATAGAGCAGTATAAAATTCGTTGTCACCTGAGATGGATAAGATAATGGAAATAAATAGTGCAGGAGTTTATAAGACTACCACAGAAGTGCACAGAATAAAGCAATCACATTTAAATCCGAATTTGAGACCCTCCCAGAAAGCCCAGGATGTAACATATAAGTGTACAACAAATATCCCTGGGCCTAAAAATAATTGTGTCTATGAGGATATCCAAGGAACTTTGAATTCAATAGAACAAGCAATATGGCCAGAAGAAGTATATAATACCTCAAAGGAAGAAAGGACCAGAGGCCAACAGCTAGGTCATACGTCAACACAACAACAATTTCGCAGGAAAAGTAAACAAAATAATCAGAGTCAAATCCAAAATAAGGATACACAACAGAGTTGACAAGGAAACAATATGAAGACATCTACAACTAAATGTATATCTTGGAACATTGCTGGATGGGCAGGCAAATGTATAGATGGGGAATTCTTGCATTTTTTACAAGATTATGATATGATTTTTCTCC